TAGGTTGGAGGCCATCGCTATTAGGTTGGAGGCCATCGCTATTAGGTTGCAGGCCTTCGCTATATTAGGTTTGAGGCCATCACTATTAGGTTGGAGGCCATCGCTATTTGGTTGGAGGCCATTGCTAGTACTAGCGCTGGGGTTTAGTCACCCGGGTTTGCAGAAAGTCACCCGGCCGCATGGAAACGCGGCATTAGTCAAAAGTCACCTGGCTCGCGAAAAGTCACCCATTTCATGTCAAAACACAATGTAAACGCTCTACGGAAGTATTTTTGTCAAAACTGCTATACATGAAGAATTCACTGCCCCTGTGCAGGAAAGAACTAGTTTTATGTCGAAGTTTGCAGCGTTTTGGTGACCGAACCCCAATCAGAACGCAAGGTTAGGACTATCGTGAAGATTACCCCCTAAACATAGATGCAGCATGCTGCCCTGCTTGTTTTGCTCTTCAAGAGCTGTGCATTTATGACCTTCGTGTGGAAAAGATCACTAAAGGAAACATGGTGAGGCTGGCGCGAGTGCCACGCGAGTCTTTTCGACCCTGTCGCGAGTGCCACGCGAGTCCCATGCACCCATGTATGTACCGACGGCCCATGTACTCATGCCCCATGTACCCAAACAATGGTGTTGAACTGACGTTCCAAAGCTTATCTTCCAATGAGGGTGACATCTTGCATCCAACCCCAATGGAAACGCAGCATCCAAACAATGTTGTTGACCTAATGCTCTTCCAGTTATATTGCCATCTTGCATCTAACCCCAATGGAAACGCAACATCCAGACGACTTTCTACAAGACCAGACGACTTAACACAAGTGCTTGTAGGTTGGAGGCCATTGCTATTAGGTTGGAAGCCATCGCTACTAGGTTGCAGGCCATCGCTATTAGGTTGGAGGCCATCGCTATTAGGTTGGAGGCCGTCGCTATTGGGTTGGAGGCCATCGCTATTAGGTTAGAGGCCGTCGGTATTGGATTGGAGGGCATCGCTAATAGGTTGGAGGCCATTGCTATTAGGTTGGAGGCCATTTCAGGTTGGAGGCCATCGATATTTGGTTGGAGGCCATAGCTAGTAGGTTGGAGGCCATCGCTATTAGGTTGGAGGCCATCGCTATTAGGTTGCAGGCAATCGCTATTGGGTTGGAGGCCCTCGCTATTAGGTTAGAGGCCATTGCCATTGTTATTAGGTTGCAGGTCATAGCTATTAGGTTGGAGGCCGTCGCTATTTGGTTGGAGGCCATCGCTATTAGGTTGGAGGCCACCGCTATTAGGTTGGAGGCCATCGCTATTAGGTTGGAGGCCATCGCTATTAGGTTGGAGGCCATCGCTATGAGGTTAGAGGCCATCGCTATTAGGTTGGAGGCCATCGCTCGTGGGTTGTGAAGCCTCTGAGGCACCCAGCCATGCAGCTAGGGCCTTGAGTTGCTGCTCATTGAATTGGCTCAATTCCCAGTCTAGCCTCGCCATCAAATGTGACAGCAAGCACCACAAACTGAAGGTGCCATTGTCTGGTTGGGATCTCGCAAATATATAATCCCATTATATAATACTCTCATACAGGAACTATGGAGTGCGCCTGCTGGCGTCCTTTTTATCCAGTGACAAGGTGGCCAAGGCGTAGGTGGCATCATTGCCGGCCCAAAGGTCACCATAACCTTAGCAATGTTATGCATTGTTATGCAATGTTCACGTGCGATTCTTCGCCAGCAAAGAAGAGAATAATAAAGCAAGGAAGAATCAAAAGAGATGTAAGCAAGCAAGAGATGGACACAAAAGGATAGTTGTACTCGATCACTTCACCTTGCAGTTTTCGCACCTCCGCCAGCTTGAAAGTTGCTGGATTCGCTCACATCGTAGACCTTTCGAAATCACGCGACATTGAGCTTGGTTCAGCAGTTGAAAGTACTCGGTGGCACAGAATGAAAGCGCTTTGGAGACACTCTTCACTAGTAGGACAACCGCTAAAAGTCTACTACATCCAAGTGGCCTTGCCTGGCCAAGAATGCCAATATATGATGGCAAAGTTGTCCCATCAAACTTTGCCTTGATGGTGCGTGCAAAGAGTAAAATAGTACAGCGTCTTTGTGAACAAATGCACACACATACCAGTATAACTCTAACACAATATATTTACAGTACAATATTTTACAACAGCTACAGCTACAGCTGCAGTATTTGTGCAGCCCCATGCCTTGCGAAGTAAGTCCAGCAATGTCTCATGTTACTTGGAAGCTACAGGACAGTGGTGAGGCATGCGTGAGTCTGTGTTGCCTGAAAGCCTGCAAGCCAAATGTGTTATGAGTTTCAATCATGCGAGGCGCTACTGCATCCCAGGTACTAGCCGCTTCCAAGCCAGTAGCTACAAAGTACTACTAAGTAGTGCGGGGAAACGTAAGTTTCCCTAAAAGTCTAGGAACCAAATGAATAGTGCGAGCACTTCTTTAAGGAAGCTCCCCCCGCCTGAGCTATCCTGCGTCCTGTGACTAGTATTCGCTAGTATATAGCTACTTAAACTACTAGCGACTCCCTAGCTTCTACTAGCCACCTAGCTACTACCTCCCTCTACGGCCTACCCCTCCCTTAAAAGAAGGTGTCCAACTTTGGTTCTTTTGGCTGTAAGGGCAGTGCCAGCTCTTCCAGCGTGAAGACTTTGCCAGTATGCGTGGAGCCCTCCAAGCTACAAAGTTCGGGTGCGCAAAGTTCGTAGGATGCAAAACGTGTAAAGTCAAATAACTCGCCGAAACGGTGCAACATGGACAGCAAAGTAAAGCCCAAACAACTCAATTTGTTGAAGAATGGAGGGTCACGTGTCCTAGCTGTGTTAATAGTGTGAGGAGCGCCCAACAATCATAAGTTCACTAGATACAACTTGTGCAACACGAGTCGAAGCGGCCTTGGCACCCATGGCTTGAAAACTTAGAGCAAAATGCTGGAACAAAAATTGAAAAACTGTTCTTTGACAATCTAAACACTTCTTCAAAACTAGTAGCAAGGATGCTTTTGGGTGGAGGCCATCGCGAGTAGCTTGGAGGCCATAGTTACTGGGAACAAGAAGCTACTACTATCGAAGGCCAAGCGGTTCCTCAAACGGGGTGGGATGTTCGAGGTGCTCTTGATGTGGGGCTTTGGATCGGCAAATGTGCACAAGACAGCTTGCAAGCAATTCCAAGTTCCATATCTTGTCTGAACAGCGGCGACGTCAACAAGCTATGATGCGCATATCAGCGCGTTCTCACTTTTTGAACATGTAGGAACGTGCCTTTGTGTTTCAGGCTGCTGTCCTACGTCCTACTGATTAACCTCACAGCCATGCCATAGGCTGTAGCAGAGCCCGGGGGCGGAGAGAAGCAGCATTTAGTCCAACAAACGTCGTGAACTAAAGGCATATTATCCCAACAAGTTTGATGGATGGTCGAAACATGTCATTTGCAAGGTGCAAAACACACCGTCATTGGATGACTTCAGGATGCTGAACACTCTCAAGGGTCAGCCGACTGACATCTCCAATATTCTATCAAGCAGTGCTCTACCACTAGTTTGGCTGCCTGGCTTTTGTACAGTACTTGTTTAATGCTTCGAAGCCAGATTGATGTTGGAGATGCTTGAATCTTCTATCAATGACATCCATATCACTCGGCTTGGAAACTAGTCTATAGACACTGACAAGCTCAGGAGATTGACTGCATCTTCAACGTCAGCCCTTCACCAGCCTCAGACAATGGCAAGCCAAAATGTGCGTCCTTGCCCTGCACTAGTCGTTGGTCTCAACATCGTTTGTCCGTGTGAATATCAAAAAATTGTCCAACATCTCCATGAACACATGGCCACCAGGGTTCTAAAGGTGCAGAAATAATTGTACCACCATCAAGGTGCTACGTGCATCGCACTTTTGTAAGTGCACTAAATGTCAAGCTCTTGGCTGCCAAGACACATCATCCAGTTTCCTCTTCCCCACGCTTGCATCTTGGTCACGGGAACCGGCACGGAAAGGAGACGTACTTGTCTCCGAAGGAAAGGGCTCCGAAGGAGCCAGGAGAGGATTCTTTATGCTGCTTCCCAAAAAGCTTTACTTGATCCTAAAACCAACATCGTTCCTAGTTGAATGGGATGTCAAATGAATCACTCAGACTGCTCAGACTTGTTAGGCTCTGGGTCAGGGGACACTCTTGAAGGGCCCTATCACTGCATGATGCATGCCTCCTTAAAATGCATGCCTCCTTAACCCACATTTAAAACGGAACACATATATTATATATATACAACCCCTCATCCTATACTTCTGTTCTAAATCTGTATAGCAAATGGGGAAGACGATGAAACGACTCTGGTGAATGCAGATGTTTTGGAGCTCTGCGGCGAAAGCCTGACAAACACAGCCTCTCCTTCCTTTAAGTTTCATCCCCTCCACTAATTCCATCCCCTCTTTGTGCGCTTTGTCAGCTACTGCACATCCTGCCTTAACTCTCTTACAGTAAATATCTGGCCCGCTGCTCTACTCTACTCGACTCTACAGTACTCTTTTCTGCCCTACCTTATTCTGAGTCTAGTGAAGTGGGTTGGCATGGAAAAGAGTGAATTTGGTTGTTCACTGGAATGCAGTGATAGAGTAAAGGAAGGCAAACTGGATTGCTTGTCAGTTTGTCAAGAGGAGGGTAGAGTAGAGTAGGAAAGTCAAGCAAAATGCAACAGAGTTGAACTTGGTAGAGTAAAGTGAAGCAGAACGGAGCTTTTGACTCAGGGCAAGAGTAGGAGTGCGCAATGGTTGAGAAACAACATTGGCATTTCCGCACTGTTTGCCCTACCTTTCCTGGCTCCATCATTGGATCTGGCGCTTATATTGTGCTTTTCCCACCCTGTCAAGAAGAGTGGAGCAACACACACCTAAATTATGCCCTAACTAGGGTAGGTAAGCGGTCCAGAAGGTTCAAATAGCCAAAAATGCTTGTCCCTATCTAAAAAGAAAGGAGAGGTTTGTAGCTCAAATCCATGACAACCTGATCCAGGGGACCAGGAAAGGAAAGGCAACACGCAACAAGGCCTCATCAGGGGAGGGGTACCTGTTGCGAGCTATTCAAACTGTTGCTATATTTTTATAGGCGGCTGATGAATCTTGTCCTTTTTAGAGAGTGTGCCCCGGGAGGTTGGAACAATTTTCCAGTTCCAAGTTGAAGGGGGATCCAGTTCCAGTTCATGTTCCAGTATGCTTCAACAGGTCAATGACGTACATACATATTTATCTTGTTTCCGGCAAAGGGGGGTCCAGTTCCAGTTCTAGATCCAGTGTGCTTCAATAGGTCAATGATGTACATATCAGTTCCAGTTCATGTTCCAGTTCCAATTCAAATTCCCAGTCCAATTCCACGGAACATGTCCACAAATATGTTATTTGGGGGGGGGGCTCGGGGGGTGTTCCAGTTCCAGATCCACTTCTGCTTCCGACACCCGTGCGATGCAATACATCGATGACATTTACACAAGTGTCCTTCTTTTCCTCGGGGAGGGGGAGCTCCAGTTCCAGTTCCAGTGGGGAACACTATGCCTCTTTATGAAAAACAGATCTGCTGAAATAAATAAATTGCAGAAAAAGAACAAAGGACAAGGAAAAGGACAATTGAGAAAAACAAGAGGCTCGATTCAATGGGCCATTCTGTCGAAAGTCCGAAGTCTTGGGACTTTATGACTTTACACTTTACCAGTACATGTTTGATTTTTTGGATCAAACATATCCCAAGTTGTCTGGAAATCTTTGTATTGCTGGATGTTGACACATATGTATCAGTCCTGGGAATTGTTGCGCAAAATGCCGGGCAACAAATGTTACAACACTGAACTTTCTTAGGTTGTATCTTTACCTTTTTTCCCCGCAGAATTCACAATAACATATGTATATAATACGCACATATGAAACCCCATTCTTCCAAAAATGCAAAATCTGACCATACAAACATGCACACACTGCAAATATCAATGACATACACCAAATCAGGAGGATGTAGGAGGCACCACTTACACTTTGATGTCTTTTGGTGGCTGCCATGGGCTTTGACAGGCAATAGAAGTCAAAAACTACCTGAAGATCTACTCACCCGCCTTTTAATAAATGACACTTGGTGTCCTCGGTATCTCTCTCTACCCGTGCTGTCCAAGAGACCATACACTGGCCCTCCGTGGTGAAAGGTTCAGTGCGCCAAGGATTTGGTTTTGATGACCTCGATGAAAAAAGGAACAGGTGGTGCGAGTTGTTGGAGTCATAATCTTTATGCGATTGGTGTTTTGATACTACGCGACAATGGCTCAATTTATTGTACGGGTCCATTCGCATTGTCCAATGTCCTCGAAACAAGGCCGGCCGATCTGTCAGCCATGCCACTTTGCTGCCCCTGCGACCAAGCAATCCGTTTGACTCACAGCACCTGCTTTGACATCTGATAGTGATGAATTCTAGTGAGCTATTCTAGGCTTCGTACATAATGACAGTTGGAGTACGATGGGTAAAACGGATGTTTAACGATAAGAATCGATAAAAAACTTTAAAAACAACAAGATGGAACCCACGAACCCGAATGCAAACACGTTCGAAAAACTAATATGTCCAAATGACACTCTTGTAGGACACTCTTGCGGGACACTCTGTAGGACACTCTTGTAGCACACTCTTGTGCGACACTCTTGTAGGAAACTCTTGTGGGACACTCTTGTAGGACACTCTTGTGGGACACTCTTATAGCACACTTTTGTGGGACACTCTTGTGGGACACTCTTGTAGGAAACTCTTGTGGGACACTCTTGTAGGACACTCTTGTGGGACACTCTTATAGGACACTTTTGTGGGACACTCTTGTGGGACACTCTTGTAGGAAACTCTTGTGGAACACTCTTGTAGGACACTCTTGTGGGACACTCTTATAGGACACTCTTGTGGGTCACTTGCAGGACACCCTTGTGGGACACTCTTACGCGACACTCTTGTAGGACACTCTTGTGGGAGACTCTTGTAGGACACTCTTGTAGGACACTCTTGTCGGAAACTCTTGTGGGACACTCTTGTGGGACACTCTTGTGGGACACTCTTATAGGACACTCTTGTGGGACACTCTTGTGGGACACTCTTGTAGGACACTCTTGTGAGACAGTCTTGTAGGACACTCTTGTAGGACACTCTTGTGGGACACTCTTGTGGGACACTCTTGTGGGACACTC